TTTTTTCTTCTGAAAGCGCTTTAACAACACACATGCAAACGCACGATGGCGAGATACCATTCAATTACAGTCATTGCTCCTCCTCATCCAGTATTGAAGATAATTTAAAGAAACACATGCGAACGCATACTGGTAATGAGAAGCTACTTAGTTGCAATCATTGCTCCTCCTCTTTCAGTAGTAAAGACGATTTAAAGATGCACATGGGAACGCACACTGGTGAGAAGCCATTCAGTTGCAGTCATTGCACGGCATGCTTTTCTCACAAAAAGTCTTTAACGGCACATGTTCGCACGCATACTGGTGAGAAACCATTCAGTTGCAATCATTGCTCCTCCTCTTTCAGTAGAAAAGACTATTTAGAGATGCACATGCGAACGCACACTGGTGAGAAACAATTCAGTTGCAGTCATTGCTCCTCCTCTTTCAGTATTAAAAACAATTTAAAGATGCACATGCGAACGCACACTAGTGAGAAACCATTCAAATGCAGTCATTGCCCGGCATGCTTTTCTCACAAAAGGTCTTTAACGGCACATGTTCGCACGCATACTGGTGAGAAACCATTCAGTTGCAATCATTGCTCCTCTTCTTTCAGTTGTAAAGACTATTTAAAGATACACATGCGAACGCATACTGGTGAGAAGTCATTCAGTTGCAGTCATTGCACAGCATGCTTTTCTCACAAAAAGTCTTTAACGGAACATGTTCGCACGCATACTGGTGAGAAACCATTCAGTTGCAATCATTGCTCCTCCTCTTTCAGTAATAAAAACAATTTAAAGATGCACATGCGAACGCACACTGGTGAGAAACCATTCAGTTGCAGTCATTGCACAGCATGCTTTTCTCACAAAAATTCTTTAACGGAACATGTTCGCACGCATACCGGTGAGAAGCCATTCAATTGCAGTCATTGCACGGCATGCTTTTCTCACAAAAAGTCTTTAACGGAACATGTTCGCACGCATACTGGTGAGAAACCATTCAGTTGCAGTCATTGCACAGCATGCTTTTCTCACAAAAAGTCTTTAACGGAACATGTTCGCACGCATACCGGTGAGAAGCCATTCAGTTGCAGTCATTGCACGGCATGCTTTTCTCACAAAAAGTCTTTAACGGAACATGTTCGCACGCATACTGGTGAGAAACCATTCAGTTGCAATCATTGCTCCTCCTCTTTCAGTATTAAAAACAATTTAAAGATTCACATGCGAACGCACACTGGTGAGAAACCATTCAGTTGCAGCCATTGCACGGCATGCTTTTCTCACAAAAGGTCTTTAACGGCACACGTTCGCACGCATACTGGTGAGAAACCATTCAGTTGCAATCATTGTTCCTCCTCTTTTCGTATGAAAAATCATTTAAAGATGCACGTGCGAACGCATACTGGTGAGAAACCATTCAGTTGCAGTCATTGCTCCTCCTCTTTCCGTATGAAAAATCATTTAAAGATGCACGTGCGAACGCATACTGGTGAGAAACCATTCAGTTGCAGTCATTGCACAGCATGCTTTTCGCACAAAAAGTCTTTAACGGAACATGTTCGCACGCATACTGGTGAGAAACCATTCAGTTGCAGTCATTGCATGGCATGCTTTTCTCACAAAAAGTCTTTAACGGCACATGTTCGCACGTATACTGGTGAGAAACCATTCAGTTGCAGTCATTGCACGGCATGCTTTTCGGACAAAAGTAATTTATCAAAGCACATACGGACGCATACTGGTGAGAAACCATTCAGTTGCAATCATTGCTCCACTTCTTTCAGTAGTAAAGACTATTTAAAGATGCACATGCGAACGCACACTGGTGAGAAACCATTCAGTTGCAGTTATTGCACGGCATGCTTTTCTCACAAAAAGTCTTTAACGGAACATGTTCGCACGCATACTGGTGAGAAACCATTCAGTTGCAGTCATTGCTCCGCTTCTTTTAGTAGGAAAGGCACTTTAAAGGTGCACATGCGAACGCACACCGGTGAGAAACCATTCAGTTGCAGTCATTGCAAGGCATGCTTTTCTACTACAAGTAATTTATCAAAGCACATCCGGACGCATACTGGTGAGAAACCATTCATTTACAATCATTGCTCCTCCTCTTTCAGTAGTTAAGACAATTTAAAGATGCACATGCGAACGCACACTGGTGAGAAACCATTCAGTTGCAATCATTGCTCCACTTCTTTCAGTAGTAAAGACTATTTAAAGATGCACATGCGAACGCACACTGGTGAGAAACCATTCAGTTGCAGTTATTGCACGGCATGCTTTTCTCACAAAAAGTCTTTAACGGAACATGTTCGCACGCATACTGGTGAGAAACCATTCAGTTGCAGTCATTGCTCCGCTTCTTTTAGTAGGAAAGGCACTTTAAAGGTGCACATGCGAACGCACACCGGTGAGAAACCATTCAGTTGCAGTCATTGCAAGGCATGCTTTTCTAATACAAGTAATTTATCAAAGCACATCCGGACGCATACTGGTGAGAAATCATTAATTTACAATCATTGCTCCTCCTCTTTCAGTAGTTAGGACAATTTAAAGATGCACATGCGAACGCACACTGGTGAGAAACCATTTAGTTGCAGTCATTGCGCGGCATGCTTTGCTCACAAAAATTCTTTAACGGCACATGTTCGCACGCATACTGATGAGAAACCATTCAGTTGCAGTCATTGCTCCTCCTCTTTCAGTAGGAACGATAATTGCATGGTACACATGCGAACGCACACTGGCGAGAAACCATTCAGTTGCAGTCATTGTTCGGCTTACTTCTCTAAAAAAATCACTTTCAAGAGACATTTGCGAATGCATTCAGGCGAAAAACCCTAGAGTTTTAGTCACTGCTCATCTCCTTTTCGGCTACAAAGGCATTTAACGGAGCATACTGCGATCAGAGACAAGAGACCCTCCTCTGACCTCTTGGCGACAGGTGGAAGCTGTTACCTTCGGGGATTCAACAATTCTATAAGGTACATGGATAATGATAATGGAGCAACAGTCATCACCCTAATATCGGCTGTTAATTTGCCGACATGGATGATAAGCCTCTGGTGACGTCATGAGGCAAAGACGTTTCCCAAACTTCGGCCATTTTAGGCTTGTTTGCAAAACGGAAATGCCAACACGTTGTTCAACATTAACCATGTAGGTAATAGCCAACATTAGAATACGGAAGTTTCGAAAGCACAGATCAGTCCAGATCGCTAACATCGGCGGAAGAGCGTGAGTAGCTTTGTGAGCGCCATTGGCGGGAAAATCCATGGGCATTTAAAACTAGGAACCAAAACTGAAATTTTGGCTATTTTCAGCAGATTTTCGGCGGGAGAATACTTCTTTTTCAGATTTTTGTGGGATGAAACGTTCCGAAGAATTCAAGAATTAGTTTCTCAGTAGAATTTATGTGGTTCAATATTTCCAGATTAAATAATTAAGGTGGAAATAAATAAAGAAGGAGAATTAATTAAAATACGAGTAAACAAAGCTAAAAATTATTGAAACACTAAAAGGTAAGACGTTTCGAGCTGCTTCCAGCTCATTTTCAGCTGCAAAAACACAAAAAAACAAGTAAAAAATTGAGTGGCGATCTGACCTCAGCCGTTATCACGTAACCACTCATAATAACGGCTGGGGTCAGGTCGCCACTCAATTTTTTACTTGTTTTTATTTGTTTTTGCAGCTGAAAATGAGCTGGTAGCAGCTCGAAACGTCCTGCCTTTAAGTGTTTCAATAATTCTTAGCCTTGTTTACCCGTATTTTAATTAATTCTCCTTCTTTTTTCGTATAATCGGGCTATGTTTTTGTGCTTTATCGGTGAAAATAAACAAATCAGAGTTCATCAGTATACTGAGTACATGCATGATAAGCCTCTGGTGACGTCATGAGGCAAAGACGTTTCCCAAACTTCGGCCATTTTAGGCTTGTTTGCAAAACGGAAATGCCAACACGTTGTTCAACATTAACCATGTAGGTAATAGCCAACATTAGAATATACGGAAGTCTCGAAAGTAAAAGTCTACACCATGACCAAGATACTAGTGGAGGGTCTCTCGTCTCTGATTGCGGTAAACCATACATTCCCAGTGCTCTGCATTTTTGTCCAGAAAAAGTCGTTTAAATGAACGCATACGACACACATCGATCGAGGACCTTTCAGTTGCAGGCATCGCTTGGCTTCGTTTTCTGAAAAAAGTTCTCCATGGGTACATATTCGATCGCACTCTGGAGAAACCCCGTAATTTTGATTATCAAACTAGAAGTTGAGACTATACAGATGACGTTATTTTTATTTTTTCCTTTCAAGCAATGTTAATCGTAAGCACCTTTATTTGTCATGGAGTTCATTTCCACCGTTACCAATCGTCGTGTGATTCCGACTTTCTCGTCAAATATAGAGAAAACTTGTAGCGCTGTGCTCTGATTCCTGTCTCAGCTAGAGGCCCAAGACTTATTGATTATGAGAGCTTGTTTCTACTTTTGCTTTTTTCCGACGTTATTTTCTCTTCATCATAATTTGTAAGAGAATATACCTATTGCAGGTATTTCCATTTGAATGTTCAAATATTTCTATATGAGCGCTGTAAAATCTCCCGTTATATTTCATCAACTTTATAATTAATCTTCGCTCTGAAACTCCGGAATATTGAAGAAAATCCGAAATTCGTATTATTTTTGTTAAAATAGTTTGGTAATGAGCATGAGATTTCCCTATCGTAATTATTGGAAAGGCAATGTCTTATATTTGTAATGCATTTTGCAATCAGGAATTACAACGTTTGGCTCATCCGTGATAACACTGACGTGCATAGGGAAACCAATGGCACATAAATTGGACCGAGTTTAACAGAATGGAACCAAGCCACACCAGCTATTGCCGAGTTTAACTGGGCAATTAAATTTTTTACGAGAGAACGGTTGTTCGGATTTCTTTGAAAATTTTAAGGACTTTGCTTCGCACCATGGAGAATTTTCACTGAAATTTGCACGGAAATCCGCACAACCGTTTTCATGTAAAAAATTAAATTGCCCAATTAAAGGCAATAGGTGATGTGGCTTGGTTCCTTTCTGTTTGACGCGGTCCATTTGTTTCTAAACTGAGCCAGACATTTTAGTTCTTAATTGCAAAATGTAGTCCAAATGTCCTAGGAAAGAATGACGTATGAGCCTCTAGAAGTTGCCAAATCGCCTTTGATGACAAATGAATTTTCAAGAAAATTTATGAATGTTTTTTCTCGAATTTTGTCCTTCGCACACAAGTGTTTCTACTGAGGAGCAAAAAATCGTAGTTTTGAAAAGCGAAATTTAGTCCATTTAAGATAGTTTCGGAATGCAGAGTGCGAAAAATGCCTCAAAGATCCTGAAATATAGTTCAACATAATTGCATGATGGTGGCTCATTTAACCGGACTATAGTTATTAATAAAGAGGAAAATATGAGTGTTACATGTTTTTAAAAAGATCTTTTATTATTATTACTCAAAACATTATAATTATTGTTCGGTTCGTTGTGATTATTTATCACAATTATGTGCTATTATTTTTAGTCGCTCTACATCATCTGTGTTCCCAATGTGAACCTCATTTAGTTTCGATTGTAGCTGAGGGAGGCGTAAGGCACTTTAACATTGAATTCTAACATTCGAGGGGCTATGTAGTTTCATTAAAAGAGCGATTCTCTGTTATGCCTTTTGTGGAATATCTTCCCACTGGGATAAGAGATTGTACTATAAGGAAAAAGTAGCGGTGACTATTGCTAAATATCAGTATTTTCTCGGTTCGAAATTATTGTAAGGCTAGGTAATGATACAGGAACACAGGACCCAAAGGCATATGTACACAACAATTTTTATTTTTCTTGACATTTACCGGTGCGTCTAAATCAATAGAAAATACATCCAGTGGCGTGGCGTGCCTAGCGATGTATCGATTGATCTGCCACTTAAACCTATGTAAAAGGATCGATGAGCAGGGTGTTCGCAACGAAAATCTTAATAATCGATTCTTTACCACAGCTTCAAATGGGAAAATATCGACAATCGATCATTTACGCCTCACCAGTGAATGCATCGTTCATGAAATGAGCCCTATCATGCATGTATTCTTGTGGATCTCAGGGCTTATTTGAGAATTGATATAAAATTCCTTTTGATTTAAATAACCCAATGGGTTATAGTTTGTTTCACTGGTCACAGCATTGTGTTTTGATGCTTGATTCTTGCAGATTAGCTAAAAGTATTACGATTTGTCAAAACAGCAACTTTCTACGTTCAATATGAACCGAGATATCGCCTTTTGAAAATTCGGGTTTTGGACGTCATCCACCGCGGTAGTGACACCCTTGGTTTCCCCCGTCCTGCTTTCATCAGTTAAAGAGACATAAATGGACTGCATTTTGCAATTTGGACCTATAAATTCCGGCCCGGTTTAAAAACAACGTATGTGCCATTAGTTTCCCTATGCACATAAGTGTTTTTTCAGATGAGGCAGAATTTATAGGTCCAAATTGCAAAATGCAGTCCAAATTTGCAAAGCAAGGTGGAAGAAACCAAGGACGTCACTATCAGGGTGGATGGCGCCAGAAACTCGACGTTTCAATAGGCGATATCTCGGTTCGTGTTAAACGTAGAAAGTTGCTGTTCGGGCCGATATTATTATTTTCAGCTAATCTAGAAAAATCAAGCGCGAAAACACGATTCTTTGACCACCGCAACTGACTCATTTGAGACTGCTCCCTTAGAAATAGCCAGAAGCGTCCAATCCTATTTACTGCCCAGCTAAAGGAGGTAAATTGGCTCGCATTTAGCGAAAAGGAATCAGCGCGATTACAGTGTCTTAAAAATGTTGCTGCTTCGTATTTATCTAAGAAATCTCCCAGAAAACCACATAGTGTTGGCTTCTCACCAAGAGATTATTAATATTGAAGGAGATTTATTGTGTAAATTTTAATACTGAACATGTATTGAGTGGTTTTAAAACAAAAATAAAAGTTGCACGGTTTTAATCGCGCTGGTTCCTTTTTGCCAAATGCGATCCATTTCACGAAAGGGCCTAAATCTCATGTATGAAGTCAGGGTAAGTTTTGTCAAAATTGTTTGGCTCTTCTCCCTGCAAATTTTTAGACTCCGTCTTTTGAATAAATCACGCAATTTTCTGGGTCGTTTAAGAAGTAGCTTCGTAACAGATCTTTTGTCTCTAATGCGAGAAGAATAATATAAATGTACCCATTATTTGCCAGAACTCTGGTGAAAACCCATTGCTTTCCTTTCGTTCCTGTATTTTCACATCTTTCTGTACGAACGCGTGTTAATTATGTACCTCTAATAAAGTTGTGGATAAAAAAGTTCGTTACAATTTATGACATGTCTCCGGCAGCGGCGTGGCGTGAATTGCGATATATCGATCGTTATGCCATTTAAACCTATGGAAAAGGATCGATAAACAGGGTGTTCACAGCGAACACCAATAATCGATTCTTTACCATAGGTTTAAATGGCATAACAATCGATTTATCGCAATTCACGCCACGCCACTGGTCTCCGGCAATACAGCAATTGGGCGCTTCTGGGTACCAGATGCGCCCTTTCCAACCGTTCGATTCCCCCGATGTAACATGTACTATACTACATGCCCTTTTGCCTTATGGGTAATGACGCCATTCTGGTACACCCGGGAAAATTGGATTTTTTTCTGCATTTGGTATTCGTAAAAGTTTTCGTGAAATGTTTTGCTTTTAAGCATAACAATCTCGCACGGACGTATTACCTGGTTAAAGTATTTTAGGGCCTCCTTATGCTTTAAATACTTATATCCGAGGCAGTACTTTCAGATCGATTTGAAAATATTACGAACAGTCACGTGATCTCTTCATTTTAGTGACGTATTACTGTGCTACTTTGTGATTGGTTCATTTT